CACCCACGGGCGCGGCCGCAGGTCCTCTGGCTCTGGATGCCTCCCTCGTCCTGTGCCTGTCTGCCCCAGAGCCGGCAGCCCACCCTGCGCTGATCTACGGCAAAGGGGGGCAGGGTCTAGCCCCATAAGCAGTACCAGAGGAAAAGGACAGGCGCTCTAGCCATGGTGTTGGCATTTCTCCCTCCCTCCCTTCCAGCGAGGCCCTTGGAACAAGGGAAGCGCCAGAGCTGGGACCCAGCAGGGCACCACGAAACCATCAGGTTGGGCTGCTTCTCCAGGCGGGAGAGTGGAAATGTGCCTGAACACAGGACCCGTGGGCTCCGGAAGGGGTCGTGGCCCCCGGCACCGGGGCCCTTCCTCGGGCTGCCGTGGGAGAGCGGGGGCCAGCCAAGCTGCCGGCGTTTCTCGGCCTGTGGCTTCCCTCCCCAGCTGGCCCTTCCCTCCCCAGACACGCACCCCCCTCAGCCCCTGCCCTGGCAGGGCTCGGAGAAGCGCAGGGAGGGAACTGCCAGCCCTCTCGGCTTGTCTGCGCTCACAACTTGCCCGACTCTGGGAACGGTTTTTACTGGGGTTGCAGCTGGGTTGGCTCCAAGGACGATCCCGTGTTTGAACCTTCCCCTGGCGCCCGATGGGACACGGCGTGAACAGGCTGCGAAGCTGCGCTAGCGCCACGGGGCTGCGGGAGGCCCTGCTCTCTGCTTCCCCGGCTCTTCTGAGCAGAACAGCGGAACAGCCGCGCTGGGTCAGAGCATCCCGCCCCGGCTGACTCCTTTGCTGGCCGACTCCTTTGCTGGCCGGGAGGTTTCAGCCAGGGCTGTGAGCACCTGCCTTTCCCAGCAGGCAGCCTCTGTCGGGAGCAGTGCTGATGTGGGGCTGGAGCAGAGGAGCACAAAACCTGTGTCCCCATTTTAAACCAGCCAGAGCCAAACCTTTCCCCAGCCCCCCCGCTCCCCTCAGAGTCTCTTCCCGCAAGGCCTGGGAGGGACAGGACCAGCTACAGGGTGTCCTGAAGGAGGACCATGGTTTAAAACCAAATGCCACCCCTCCCCCCAACAGAAGGGGTCTGAGTGGGGATGCCCCCCAGCAACGTTCCCTCTAATCTTTTCCATCCATGTGCGGATTTTTCCATTCATGTGTGGAATAAAAGTTTGGTCTGCGCCAAGGCATGTGTAGATGTGCACCACCATAGATGCAAAAACCTAGCTGTGGGCGCTCTGCTAATTAGCTGGCCAGCAATTGACTCTCTCCTGAGCAGCTGCACAAGCACCCAGCTTGCATGGAACGCTGACCCCAGGGCCTGCTTCCTGCTGCCCTCATGTGGGCATCGGGTCGTCCCTGCCTGGCTGTCGTGGGCCGGGCTGCTGAGCTTCTGCTCCCCCAGGGCAGCCCAGGAAGCAGAGGGGGAGCTTGGGCTGTGCCTTGTGGCCCTGGCTGATGCTGGAAATGAAGAAATCGGGACAGGCGTTCCCCTGCAGGCCGGCGGTCCCCTCCGCCTCTCTCCCCGCAGCCTTCCTCCGTTCCTTGCCACCCGGGACCGCTCAGTGGGGCAGGAGATTCCTACGGGGCCGTGGCTCCCGCTTCACTGAGGAGCTGGGATCCAATTCCCTGACCCTGGGAGTCCAGGACCCACCAGTCCCGTGTCAGCCGGTGCCCACTCGGGCATATCGGCATTCACCATTACCCTGAGGGAGGCCAGGCTCCTGGAGCCTCTGCCACAAGGGCCACCCAGCCCGGCGCCCTGACTCAGCGGGGACGCTCTTGTCTCTCCTGGCAGGTTGAAGCCCCAGAAGAGACCAGGCAACGGCACGTCGCAGCCGTGTGAGAACATCGTGGTGGCCTACTACTTCTGTGGAGAGCCCATCCCCTACCGCACCTTGGTCAAGGGGCGCGTGGTGACGCTGGGGCAGTTTAAGGAGCTGCTCACCAAGAAAGGGAACTACAGGTAAGGCCCCTTCGGCTCAGCCTGCTCCTGCTCTGCTGTGCCCACACGGCCATCGCCTTTGCCTTCTGGGCTCCTCCCTTTGCCCTGAGGCGGAGCCATGCAAGGGAGGCGCTGGTCCTGAGTCGCCTGGGCATGCTGCAAAGGGGACAAGGCCCGCGTGGGGCAGAGGGTGTGTGACCATCTCCATGGCCCTCGGGGCAGGGGCTGCAGGGGGCAGGAGGAGCTGGGGAATCTTCCCCACTTCGAAAGCCCTCGCGAGGGTGAGGAGGGAGGGGGCGCCGCCGGGCACAGAGCCGGGGGTGAGAGAAACGAGCAGGCTCGTCCCGGAAAAACGCACGGCTGGTCCACGCCGCGGGCAGCAGTGCAGGCCATGCTGCGGGGAGCACTTTGCCTTCGCCGTGCAGCCCTAGCAACGGGGCACCCAAGCGAGTTGTGTCCTGGCAGAGACGGATTCGTGAGCCAGGTGCAGGGGCTGCCCCTGGGGCTCTGCCCTTCTGCTGGCACTAGCGGGGAGGATGCTCCGTGGCTAAGCAGGTTTCCGGGGGGGGGTGTTTAAAAGCCGGGCAGAGAGCCCCCCAGGAGCTACTTTCAAGGTGGGCCTGCTAGGTCGGGGCAGGAGCTGCGCCTTGGCCCTGAGCGTGCTCGCTGTGTGGTACCGAAGTGGCTGGGATCGGGTTCCAGGCCCCACTTGTGCCGTGCTGCAGTCCGGCCGGGGGGCCCCTGCTGCTGGACTCCGCCGGGCAGAC